TTGCAAAAATGTCTCCAGAAGCAGTAGAAAATTGTCTGGTTTTCGTCTCTTGTTCTACAACTCTGTTTGTAGGGTGTGGTGAGTACCAAGTTTTCTTGGTCTTTGGCATTCCTTCATCCATTTGGAGTCTGATGGAATGCATACTGCGTCATTTTTTGGTAACCATTGACGTTGCCTGCAGTGTTTTATTTTACAAATTGCTGCCTGGTTTTACATTAGTACATTAGTCACTTCAAACACACTGCCAACGACGACTGCTATATCAGGCTAATCTATAACGTAACACACTTGAACCGTCCGTCAGCAGGACAGAAACATTTTTGGCATGTTGTTACTATGTTGATGCTGGGTCTGACTTGCCAATTGATAATTTGATCCAGGGTAAGAGTTCATCAAAGTCGTTATTTCAAAGCTATTATAAACAAATGATGAGGCTTGGACTGTATATCTTTCCAGTTTGGCAAAGAGCCCATCGCCGTGGCCTATGTTTTTTAGTCTTTTTGTTTTAATTTGCTTTTTAATGATCGGTCTTTGATGTCATCAAATTTCGATTGAGTGAATCTTTTCGCTCATCAGGAATATTTTCATATAAGCATACATACTTTAATTTCCCGCTTGAACTGCCCGTGGCACTGGAATATCGTTTATCTAGAAAAGCCAATAATAATTGGACCCAACCATGAAGCCTGGAAAACAACACAATCAAAAATAACCTTGCTAGTCCCGAGGAAAAGCTTTAGACAGAAACCAGATTGAATCATCCTGTACTTTAATTGATCTATTCCCGTTACCCTTTGTGGTCTGGCGCTGGGGGTTTCCAAACAAGCAACTTTTTTAATGAATAATTTTGGTTGTAAGCGTCACAGCCAACATTGTTGGTGAAGTAGCATACATTTTGGTACCCTCTTGAAAATGTATACACATTTTTTTAGTAACGCCAAAAACCTCTAATTCATTAAGGACCTAGAATATGATTAAGCGGGACCTGGTTTCATAGATGGAGTTTTGTTTAACAACGAACGTAATGGATAAAAGTTTTTAATTAAAGTTGAACAATAAAATGGGTCTGATTCTGATATCCTAGATTTCCAATGATTAGAATTATTTCAAAATGAAAGCCTAAATCTTCAGGTCAGCTTTTTTATGTTTCGAACTTATCTTTGTTTTCCTTGAAAGCAAAAGAGCTAGACCAACTACACACGAACTTGGGGTCTCGAGCCCCTTGGGATTTTTTCATTTGAGACTTTCATTGTAGCTTTTTTTTGAAGAACAGACTTTTGGAGAACACAACTGAATCAAACATGCTCGAACGCGGAAGGGTTGCTCTAAAGGCCTGCGCCAAAGAGGAATCCAGAGGACCATATCCCCTTATTTTTCGTTTTATAAAATATCTAAATCAGACCTAATTTTTCATATAGATAAACCTTTAGATTATAATATATACATTGAGCCAAAACCAACAAGTAAAGCAGTGTAAGCAAAACTCTCTTTTCACAATGGTGGCTAGATGGGGCAGGGCCTGGCTCCGAGAAGCGAAGGCAATCGAGCCGCTTTGAACCGCTTTTACAAACGCAGTGAATTTACTGAGTTCCTTGTATAAATGGCATTTTCACCTTTGATTTTTATACAAATCGTATCCGATTCGAAATTTTTAGATACCTGAAAAGTCGAAAATATCACTCACAATAGAATACTGGTGTGGCGTCATCAAAAATCTATTTTTAGAATTTTCTAGTTTTGACCACAAAATCAGAAAAACGACATAAAATACTTTTAACTATACAAAATCAGCTAGATGTGTTCAAAATCGGGTGATATACGGTCAATGAAAGATTTCAACTTTGCTAACGGATACTGTTATTCTTTTCTGGTTTATAGATTTATGATTAACTAACGACATTTATCGCAACTTTCCGCAAACTCTTTCTCATATGTCCAGAGTTAAATAGATGGCAGACCCTTTCAGAAAGTAGGAGAACAAAACAAACAACACAATATCATTCTCTACTGACCTTGGTCAACAGCTTCAAATGTACAAAAGTTAAAAATGGAAAACATAATTAGGGAGCAAAAAAGTATCTTAACCAGTACTTTGCTTATTTTCCGAAACGTCTGCGCCAAGAACGTCTGCGCCAAGATCTTCTGCGCCAAGAACGTCTGCGCCAAGATCTTCTGCGCCAGTAACGTCTGCGCCAGGATCTTCTGCGGAAGCTACGTCTGCGCCAGGATCTTCTGCGGAAGCTACGTCTGCGCCAGGATCTTCTGCGGAAGCTACGTCTGCGCCAGGATCTTCTGCGGAAGCTACGTCTGCTCCAGGATCTTCTGCGGAAGCTACGTCTGCGCCAGGATCTTCTGCGGAAGCTACGTCTGCTCCAGGATCTTCTGCGGAAGCTACGTCTGCGCCAGGATCTTCTGATGAAGCTACGTCTGCGCCAGGATCTTCTGCGAAAGCTACGTCTTCGCCAGGATCTTCTGAGGAAGCTACGTCGGCGCCAAGATCTTCTGCGGAAGCTCCGTCTGCGCCATGCAGGATCTGATACAGAGCCGTCTTTTGCTATTTGCTCAGAATTGTCTAAACGAGACCATTTACAAATATCAAGAAAGACCTAAAAAGTTAAGGAAAGAAACGCCCCAAGGAGAATCTGCGGTCAATTGAGCGTGTAGCTAACACGCTTCTCTGTGGATTCAAATATGCATGATTGAATAGGGCCCAAGACAATTCCGGAATCACGATTTTAACGTCTCAAAGATCGGCCCAGCCTTACATCGAATTGAATATTTGCATATCTATTTGCATATCTTGTCGTTTTCAACAAAAGTGCCAAGAACTATAGACCAAAAGTTAAAAGTCTATAGTACCTTCAGATAATTCAGTGTCCTCTTCCGGTTCTGTAGCATCATTTTCCTCTTCCGGTTCTGTAGCATCACTTTCCTCGTCTTCAGAGGGCTCTTCTGCTTCTGGGTCTTCCTCTTCTTCGCTTGCAGAATCTTCCTCTACATCAACCTCTTCCGGAACACTCTTCTCCGCCACCTCGTTGGTGTTTTCCTCGACAGTTGCACCTAAAAGATTAATTTAATCCCGGTGTAAGCTTAGCTATTGAAGATTGTTACTTAAAAAGATCACAATGGCATTTGCTAAGTAGGAATTTTCTTACGTGAACACTTTGATAAAAAGCTGCATATTCAAACGATGTTTTAACTTTGTATTACAAAGCAAAGTATTTGACCTAGTCTTTCTATTCTTTCTTTAAATAGGGTATTTTGAGCAATGATTGTCTGGGAATAAACTTCAGCATCAAGGTTTATACGACACGTAACATAGCGTGTAAGAACACAGATTATAGAGCGTTTGGCGTGGCGTCTTTGCTTTGAAAAATTAACAAAAAACATTGCGCTTTTCACCAAAATTCCATTTACTTACCAGTGAAGCCAGGAGTTATTTACTGTATAGCAGCTATACATTTAATTTACAGGCATCATCCAACAGCCCCACCAACGATCGTTCTAATCAAATCGTTCAAAAACTCTATCTTAATAATTTAAACGAGTGCATGGATCTTTCTTCGCCAGTGTCTTTACTAAATAATAGCAAGCAAGGCTGCACCTACCGTTGGTTGAAATGACGAGTCCAAGAAGGACACAAAACAGCAACACGGCCTTCATCTTGGAACAGGATCACAGCGTTCTCAGCCCAAACCTTCTCTAGCACCAATGTTCCCACACAGAATATCTCTATTCTGTGCCTCGAACTGCTAACACAGCGCGATTCTGTTCATTTATACCCTCAAATGTCGACTTCCGGTTGGCATGGATACTTTTTGACCAATAGACTGCCCTTTCTGCTGTCACAACCAATCACTAATCTGTTCCACGCCCTTGAGATGTTGCCTAGCAGAGATGTTGACGAACTATATACCGCAGGGAGGGATCTCTTTGAATGAGATAAGGAACACCACAACACTCTGAGAACAAACAACAAATTAAAAATAAGGAACTTCGTAGATAGAGATTATGGATAACTAACTTTGTGCCCAAGCATACTGGGCTTCACCATTGGGCTTCTCCGAGCACATGGATTACTTTGTTCGAAATCATTTTTATCATAATGTTCTGACCCAAAATTCTGTAAATCCTTGAATTAGGCCCCCTTGAGGGGATGGGACTTAGAAGTACCATATTCAAGTTGCCATAAGATTAGCTCGTTTCGTAGCGTTTTCTCAATTTTCAAGTTCATTACATTTGCAATTTTACTTTCTAAATCTTTCTACAGAAGTATAAATCAAAATAATAAAAGATGTTTTAGTCCAAAACATTGATATTTCCACTTTCTTCAGGTGATCTCTTGTCTCACCTACCAGTGGCGGCCTCGCAGGGGGGCCGGGGGTCCAGGCCCCCAGCTGACTTTTTTAGGGGCGCCAAAGCTTGTATAGGGCACCGAAAACTCAAACAAGTTTGATACGACCGACTTTTTTTATTATTAGGTCTCTAGGAGGTCAGCAGAGACAAAGAAGACGCCATAAAATTCAAAACTTTATTGGGGCGCACGCCCCCATACCCCCCAGAACAGTCTCACTTCAAGAGCACGTCTTTGTGCCCTTTCAGTACTGTATTATCCAGACAAAACATTTGTACTGTTCCCAGGGGCGAAAAAGTTAATCAATTGTTTAGAGGATTGTCAGGAAACTAACAGTTAAATTCTTTTGTGTGGAGAACACAGCACTTATAGTGCACACAGACTTTGTTTAGGGTATCGGGGGACAGTCTATGTTTAGGTTGTCCGGACTCATGATCCCCTTCCAGGGAAAATTTTGATTTTCGATGAGTCTCTTTGGCTCTGGTGGCCTTTAGAGACCTAATTAACTGACAATTTGGTTGTTTAATTGCTTCATCCTAGATTAGTCCATATGTTGTATCTCAAGTCACTTCCACGAACGTAGAGTTTTAAGTGCACAAGATAACAAGAAATAACGCTAAAAAGTGCATTCAAAGCTAAAACATAATGAAACCAGCTGTTATCAGATTTTTTGATAAAGGATAAATTAAACAGATGACTTTTAACTCAAAACATTGACTTCATGTTTCTAACGCGTAGATACTTCAGGCTTCTTATTCAAGAGGCATACAATGATTTTGACAATAAAGTTGGGTCGGGCCTACCCTGGGTACCAGACTCACTATATATGAAATAAAATCTCTACTATTTTATATAGTGAGTCTGGTACCCAGGGTAGGTCGGGCCTAATTTTCTTACCGGTTGCGTGTTGTTTGGCCTTTAATAATATTTCTTTAAAGTTCGATGGAATATTTACTTTATTTTCTATCAAATGACATGATTCATTCAAAGATATGTTAGAAACGGATTTTCTAGCCTTGTGAGAAACTGGAATCCTCCACTTATTGGCTAGGACCGACTATTTCCATTATTTGTTACCCCTACACTCCCCTAATTTGCCCCTTGACTGTTAGTTGAGTTGTATGCATGTTTTGAGCTCGTTTAGCTGCCCCAAAGTACAAGTTTAGCAAAACAAAGGTAAATATTTTTCGAACTTATCTTTGTTTTCCTTGAAAGCATAAGAGCTAGACCAACTACACACGAACTTGGGTGCTCGAGCCCCCTGGGATTTTGTCATTTGAGACTTTCATGGTAGCTTTTTTTTGAAGAACAGACTTTTGGAGAACACAACTAAGAGTTTGTAGGGTGGGGAGAAATTTACAAAGGTGTACATCCTTACCTTCCTTTGCTAACAATACGTCACAATTCACCATTCATTTTGTCGAATGGATCACTCTTTGACTCGACTTGACTTGACTTGACTTGATTTGACTTGCTTTGTTAATTTTACCATTATAC